TTTCTCATTTAATTCCATTATAATTATAGCACATACTTCGTGTGACTTGAATCTTGTTTTTTTTTTTTTTAAGATTTTATTTATTTATTATGAGAGAGAGGGAGAGAGTGAGCGAGTGAGAGAGAGAGCACGAACGGGGCAGGGAGGGGCAGATGGAAAGGGATAAGCAGACTCCTTGCTGAGCAGGGAGCCCGATGTGGGGCTCAATCTCAGGACCCTGGGATCATGACCTAAGATGAAGGTAGACACTTAACCAACTGAGCCACCCAGGTGCCCCATCTTTTTGTATTTATTTAAACTTACTTTAACATCAAGGACATGCTCTTCTGTGGTGAATGTTTTCATTTGAACCTTTGAGAAGAATGTGTTCTGGTGTTTTGGAATGTAATATGCTATAATTACCAATGCACTCAGGTTGATTAATAATGTTTCAGTCCTCCATGTCTTTATGTGTATTCTTTCTTCTTGTTAAGAGAGGCATGTTGAAATCTTCAGCTATGATTGTGGTTTTGACTCACCCATCTCCTACCTCCCCCTTTCCTTTAAAGACTTCAATTACACATGTATTAGGTCACTTGTGTTTGTTTTACAGCTCACCTATATTCTGTTCGTTTTTTCCAGTCTTTTTCTTTTTCAATCTCTTTGTTTAATTTTAGATTATTTCTATTGCTGTGTCTTCAAATCATTAATCTTCTCTGCTAATATTAATTTCATCCATTATATTTTTAATCTCTGATATTTTAGTTTTCACTATTAGAAGTTTGACCTTTTTTTCATACCTTCTGTCTCTACCTAGCATGTTCAGTCTTTCTTCTAGCTTCATGAATATATGAAATACCATATAATAACTGTTTCAATGTCCTATCATCTATGTCATTTATGGGTTGGTTCACGATTGATTTTCCTCCTCATTATAGATCATATTTGCCTGCTTCTTTATATACATTGTAACTTTTTGTTAGATGTCAGATGTGAATTTTATCTTCTTTGGTGCTAGGTATTTTTTTTTTTATCCTTTTAGACACTTCTGGGCTTTGTTCTGGTATGCAGTTAGGTTACTTGGGAACAGTTTATTTTTAGTTGTGCTTGTAAGTAGAATGAGAGCAGCTTTTAAACAAGGCATCTCTTTTTCTATTTCTTTTTCTTTTTTTTTTTTTTTTTACTTATTTATTTGAGACAGAGAGAACGAGAGAGAGAGCACATGAGAGGGGGGAGGGTCAGAGGGAGAAGCAGGTTCCTTGCTGAGCAGGGAGCCCGATGCGGGACTCGATCCAGGGACTCCAGGATCATGACCTGAGCCAAAGGCAGTCGCTTAACCAACTGAGCCACCCAGGCGCCCCTCTTTTTCTACTTCTTTGATCCACTACTGAAGCAAAACCCTTCTGTGTACTCGTATTAGTTTCCTATGGCTGCCATAACAAAGTTCCATAAGCTAGATGGTTAAAACAACAGGAATTTATTGCCTCATGATTCTGGAGGCTGGAAGTCTGAAATCAAGATGTCAGCAGGGCCCTGCTCCCTCTGAAACCTGTAGAGAAATTCTTCCCTGCTTCATCATAGCTTTTGGTGATTTGCTGGCAATCTTTGGCATTCCTTAACTTTATAGATACATCACTGCAATCCTCTGTCTTCACAAGGTGTTCTTTACATCCTCTTCCATTTTTGTATATCTATCTCTGTGTCCAGATTCCCCTTTTATAAGAACACCAGTCATATTATATTAGGACCCACCCTAATGACCTCATTTTAATTTGATTATCTCTGTAAATATCCAAACAAGACCACATTCTGAGGTACTGGGGACTAAGACTTAAATATATTTAAGATTTAAATATATTTTCTTTGTGGGAGACATAATTCAACCTATAACAGTACTCTACCCAAATCTCATGAGTTACGAAGTTTTTCCACTGTGGTTGCTTAGGACAGGATTTACTGCCTGCCAGTGTAAGCTCCTGAAATTGTTCCCTCTAATCTTTTTGGGCAGTTCTTTCTCCAGCTTTCGTTCGTTTCCTCACCTGCACATGCTGATCAGTGCCAGATAGAAACTCAGGGGGGGTTGGCAGTATCCAGCCTTTTTTCTGGACAGCTGTCTACTCTCTAATACTGTCCTTCAAGCTCTAGCTGCTTTGCTCTCCTTAGACTTCTGGCTTCCTCTCCTCAACTTAGCTAGACTTACTAGCTACCTGTATTTGCACCTCCTCACTGTGACCTAGAAAGGCTTTCAGGCAGTAAGCTGAGGCAGTTATGGGCACACTGCATTAGTTTTCCATCCCTTAGGGATATCCTTTGTTGCCTGATGTCCAGTGTGTTGAACATAGTTTTGTTTTGTTTCTAGATATTTTATCTGGTGTTGCCAGTTGTTTCAGGCAGGAAGTTAAATTTTGTCCGCATTACTCCATGTTGGCTGGAACAACTGGTCTGTTTTTCTAGCCTGTATCTGAGTTCCTGATTGCTACTAGAAAAAAATCACACAAGGGTATATCTTGATACTAGTATAAATTCATGGACTTCAGAATTAACTGGGCTTTCAGTGGTGTCTGCTAATAAATATGTTCTTATCTCTCCAACCCCCCTTCTCTCATTCTCCAGAGTGTCTTTACTATTTTCTCACTCCTCAAATCTCACTTTTACCCGTATCACTCTTAGCTGATGACCCTGCCTCCTAACTTCATGGAGGAAATAGAAGCCATCAGAGAGGAACCTCATCTACGTGTGACCCAGCCTGCCAACATGCTTTCTTTGGCATACATCCTTGCCACTTTTCCACTCCCTTTTCTGTAAGAGTATAGAAATTATCTTCCTCACATTTTGGACTAATTTTAATTCCCTCATGTGTTCTCAGGAGTCTCTTCTTCTTTCCTTTTTGGGAATTTTGCTCAGCTTATTCCTGTCTCTTGGACCTTGAAAACCATTTTAATATCTTCTTTATATTAGCATTTAAATGTTCAAGTCTCTTTCATCTTAAAAAAAAAAAAAATCCCTACTTTGATCCTGCTTCTCCCCTTCCCACTCATCTATAGTTATCACCTTCTCTCAAAGACAGATTTCTGAAGCAGATTGCCTACCTTTCTTCTCTTTCTCTAATTCTTTAACATCCATTTACTTCCTAACCAAATGCAACCTGACTTCTGTGTCCTTTATTCCCCTGAAGCTGTGCTTACCAAGGTTGCTGACTTCTTTGTCTGGTGGACATTTTTTGATCCTTGTCTTAAATTATCTCATGTTTCTTATACCTAGTTACAAAAACTGCAACCTTAGAATCACAACAGGAATTTGTTAAAAATACAAGGACATGAGCCCTGACCCCTGGGGATTATGATTTAGTAGGGCTGGCATGGGGCTCTGGAATGTTTGTTTTTTTTTTTTAAGTTCTACAGGTTATTTCAGTGTGCAGCCAAGTTTGAGAAACACTGTGCTCCATAGTACTTAACATGGTTCTTATCTAACCTGCTTATTGTTGGCTATCAGTTGATACTGTAAACCTTTTCTTTTTTTTTTTATTTAAAGATTTTTATTTATTTATTTGAGAGAGAGAGAGAATGAGAGACAGCATGAGAGGGAGGAGGGCCAGAGGGAGAAGCAGACTCCCTGCCAAGCAGAGAGCCCGATGCGGGGCTCGATCCCGGGACTCCAGGATCATGACCTGAGCCGAAGGCAGTCGCTTAACCAACTGAGCCACCCAGGCACCCTGTAAACCTTTTCTTGAAACATTCTTTTCTTGACTTCCTTGGCAGTGTACTCGCCAGTCTCCCCTTAGCCTCTTCTTACCACCCATACTTCTTTAGTCCTCTTTGGAAAGTCCTCTTCCTGATGACCCCTTAAAAGCTGGTGTTCTTCAGGGCCTTCTCACATCATCTGCCTCCCTGATCATCTCAGCTATTCCTAAGCTCTGTTATCATCTTTAAGCATTTTTAAGTTGATCATTCTCAGGGTCTCCAACCATCTCTTTCCTGAGCCTCAGATATTTATATCCAGCAACCTTGAATGTCCCATAGATACTTTATGCTGAATATATTCAAAATGAAACTTCTTTCTATCCCCTATTCCCCCCTTTTAAAAGTATAGCACTATCCACCTAGATGCTCAAGCTCCAAACCTAGGAAACATCCTTACCCCTCCTTTTCCCTCGAAATCACAAATGCATTTTAGATTTAGTGATCCTGTTTGGGGAGTTTATTCTATAGACATATCTGCATACATACAAGTAATAGTATGCAAGGCTATTCATTGTAGCATGTTTTAGAATAACAAAAGATTAGAAACAACCGAAGTATTCCATCTGTAGTGACTGCCTAGATAAAATTCTAGAACATTCATACTTTGGAATACTGTGATGTACTCCACTTTTAAAAATCTTATGGCATAGCAGGAAGATGTGATTCTAGTTTATTCAAACAGATACTTTAATCCAGGCTTCTCTTTGGATACAACACCGAAAATCTACAAAGCAATATAAGGAAGAATACTCAGTTTCTCATCAGTAAATAAACAAATGACAAAACAAGGTCTGCTCTCTTAACAACTTCCAAATATACAATACAGTATTTTTAATTATAGTCACCATGCTGTACATGGGCCATTGTATTCTTTAACTTTCAAAAGTCTAGAAAATCAAGATTCATGTAATTGGAATAATTTATAATTAATATTAGTGTGCCTTGTTTTCTCAACTTTTGTTTCACATGTATTTAAGGAGGGCCAGAATCAATAGAGTATATGTACCATGAATTGCTTACTTTATGAATAACAAACCTAATATGTATGATCATTGGAAATTATGTGTGTGCATTTTTAGCATGCTTTCAAAACAAGAAGTCAATTACTGAGGCAATTTATAAGATTACAAAATGCTAGTGTTTTGTTCTAATAGGTTTTTGTTGTTGTTTTTATTATTTTCAGAATATTAAAGTTTGGCTATAACAATACTTTAAAAAAATTCAGTTTTTTAATTTTATTCTGAAGACCAACTGCTATCTCTCTGTCTTTGTTTTCTAAAGGCGTTCTTAAGGACTATCTAAGAGAACTTCCTTCTCCCCTGATAACAAAGCAGCTTTATGAGGCTGTATTAGACGCAATGGCAAAAAATCCTTTGAAAATGTCGTCAAGAGGATGTGAGAATGACCCAAGTGACTCTAAGGACACTGTTGACCTGCTTGATTGTCTTCCTGATGTTGAGAAGGTAAACATATGTGGTATACCTTTTTCCCTAAAAGCCAGCTAATGAATATATACTTAGCTCCAGTGCTACAAATAATTGTACAGGTATTTCATATTTGTGGCACTACGACTTTAAGCTCTGCCTTTACTAAAGTCTCCTTAAACAACATACATTTAAAAACTGCTTCTTAAACAATAAATCTAGATAACAGTTTTATCTTTTCTGTGTATAATTTTAGTTTAGGCACAGGTATCTCCCATACATTTTTTAAAAAGTATGATTACCTTATTATTAAAATAATACATGTTTATTATAGAAAAATTGGGAAGATATAGAAAAGAATGGAAAATTGCAATTATCAATATCCAAAGGCAACAATTAACATATTAGTTTATTTCCTTTTAGTATTTAAAGAATATGGTAACTGTTTCATGTATGTGGCTTAGCCTCAAGACTTAAACAACCCTTACCACCACCATTTCTTTCCTTCTTGCCTCTTCCCATTTGCCACCTCCTCACAGTCTAAATCTTGAGATCAGTATCTTCAGGCATGCCTGCAGAGCAGATAGTAGGATAGCTGGGTCTGCAGAACAGTCTTAGCCTAACTTTAGCTGTTGTTCCTTAGAACAAAAGGGAGAATAAGGGTGATATGGCTGGGCTTGTCCAGATGAGGCCGACTTTACCTGTATTTTTTTTTTTTTTAAACATCTTTTTTTTTTTTTTTTTTAAGATTTTATTTATTTATTTGAGACAGAGAGAATGAGAGAGAGAGAGCACATGAGAGGGGGGAGGGTCAGAGGCAGAAGCAGGCTCCCTGCCGTTCAGGAAGCCCGATGCGGGACTCGATCCCGGGACTCCAGGATCATGACCTGAGCCGAAGGCAGTCGTTTAACCAACTGAGCCACCCAGGCGCCCATTTACCTGTATTTTTTATCATGTGAGGGTAGAAAGGGCATATATAGAAATTTTTAAAAAAATATTTTATTTGAGAGAAAGAGAGAGAGAGGGAGAGAGCACAAGGTGGGGAGGGGCAGAGGGAGAGAGAGAAGCAGACTCCCTGCTTAGCAGGGAGCCAAACTTGGGGCTTGAACCTGGGACCCTGGGATCATGACCTCAGCCAAAGGCAGACGCTTAACGACTGAGCCACCCAGGCACCCAAACATATAGAAATGTTAAGCCCCAAAACTTCATTCACCAGTTTACTGTAGTCTTTTGAACATCCTGTGCTCACTCCAATTAGATTAGCAATTACTACTCCTTTGGGTGGGAAGAGGGGAACAGCTACAAAGAGGTAGGCAGCAGCAGAAGGGTGGGGTGAAGGGATAGAGATATTCCTTCTTTGATAAAAGGTAAAATTGTGTCATTTTACTTAATAAGTGAAGAAATGAGTATCCAGGTATTTAAACACTTATCCAAATTATATAGCTTTTTATGAGTGTTGTAGTCTGTTATCTGAATTTAGGCCTTTCAGGCCCTAAAGCTCATACGATTGGCGTCCTTTTTAAAAGGCTTCATAATATCCCATTGAGTGAACTTGACATAATTTGTCACTATTCTCTTTTGTATAATATTTAGGTTTTGAACCTATTTGTATATATTTGTATGCAGAGATTTCTTTTCAGTTAGAATTACGTATTTAGAATAGAATCTCAGAGTAGAATTGTTGATTTAAATGATGTGAACATTTAAAGGTTCTTAATACATCTTCATGTTACTTTTCAAGAGGGGCACAACAATTACATTTTTTAGCTCGTCTTTGTAGACAAAAAAATATTTTTTTATTTTAAGTTGTATTTCTTGGCTTGCAATTGAGATTAAACCTACGATATTTAATCGGAGATGGTTGTGTGTGTGTGTGTGTGTGTGTTTTCACAGCACAATATGCTGAAACTAGCCTTAAGATGTCAATGAATGTAGGGTCCCACTTATGTTAGGAAATGCATAGTGAATGGAGAAAAGGGACAGATACTTATTACTTACATTGTTTTTATGATTCATATATTTGATTTTTTAATTTCAAAATATCAATTATAGTCTCTGGCTTTCCTTCTCTCTTCATTCCTTTCTTTCACAGCCAAACATTGAAGGAATGTTTATTTCGGCTGTCCTTCTTCTTCACCACACTTGACTACTCAACACATGGTAATCTGGCTTCCCACCCTGCCTCTCTGGACTTGTTTTTGCCAAGGTTTCTAATGACCTTCTGATCACTGAATCCAGTTGTCACTTTTGGCTCTAGAAATATGTCATTTTGATTTTTTTTTTAATTTTTAGAATTACAGTTTTATTTATCATTCATTTCTTTAATTATGAAGAAATTATATACTCATTTTATTTGTTAAATGATCATATACCAGTACTTCAAAAACATTTTTTTCCATAATTGCTTGAACCTAAATAACCTTCCACTTCTTGAGCAAACTCCCCTTATTAGTTCCTTCAAGTATTAAAAAGTATTCTTTTTCAACAAATTTTTCTGTTATTTCTAGCCATACTATTCATCGTTTGTCTACTTGAAGTATTTATTAGTTAAGTGCATTGGCCTTTTTCCTAATCTGAATCATGATAGACCGGGTCATGTTTGAAATCGTTAGCTTCCTAGATTTAAGGATGGTAGTCCCCTACTTATGATTACAGGATTTATCTGTGCTTATGAACACTCTTACCTACCATCACAGCCTTTGTGGTTGTCATTTTAGAGGAGGAAAGAGAGGAAAATGTTGATGTATATTTTCACAAGGACTCCAGTTGAAATTTGGAATGCATTCATGAGCCTTTTATAAAGAGTATATATTTTAACCATTTAATGGATCAAATTATGTCGTTGGAACCTAAGTGTCCTATGTAATGTTTTTATAAAATATGTTTCAGAGTTCCAAATATCCAACTTGGAAGCAAATCTTTGAAACTACTTTTTAAAAAGTGACAGGATGCCTATCTATATTTTCTGCTATAAATTGTGTCCTTGAATTTGCCTCTGTGTTTAACTCTATTAAGTGAAATGTAATTTAATTTAATTTAGGCAACCCTAAAGATGTTGCTGGATCATTTGAAATTGGTGGCTTCTTATCATGAAGTGAATAAGATGACTTGCCAGAATTTGGCCGTGTGCTTTGGACCAGTATTATTAAGTCAGAGGCAAGAGACTTCCACCCATAACAACAGAGTCTTTACTGATTCAGAGGAACTTGCAAGTGCTTTGGATTTTAAAAAACATATTGAAGTTCTTCATTACTTACTTCAACTCTGGCCAGGTAAATGATTCTATGGAAGTATTTTTCTCTTTCAATGATAGGGTGTTTGAATTAGCTAATCATTAAATATGCCCATATATGATTCAAGAAAATCTTTTCTAGATTTTGCTTTTTCAAATAGTTATGAATTGATACCTTTAAATTTCTCCATTTAAATTTTTTGCTTTTGCTGATAATATTGTAGACATATAGATCAATGTACACATTTTGGTCAGATCTGGATTTGTATCCTGGTTGTGTTACTTATTAGCAGTCTGATCTTGGGCGAGTTCTTTAACATCTTAGAGCCTCAATATCATCTTTTGTCATATGGATTTAATAATATGTTTATAGAATTTATAGGAGAATTAAATAAAAAGTTATGTTTGTAAGGTGCTCAGCACAGCTCTTGTCACATAATAGGTAATCTGTAAATATTAATTTCTTTACCCTTCTCATTTTTAGTTCAACTGGTATGAAGCAGAATTCATTTTTTGCCTTCATTCAATTCTTCTTCCTGACATCTTTACTGTATTCATGGTTGTTCTTCAAATTATCCAGGCTTAACTTGACGGTCATCTTTGATCTTTCCATCTTACTTATCCATCCCTTGTTCCAGTCAATAACAAAAAGCTGACGGTTATTTTCCTAATATCTCTCTTATATAGTTTCAGAGCTAAAAGGAATATGTATTTAACTAGATGTTCTATATAGGATGCTGTATTTAAGTTTCAAAATTTCCTTATTCTTTAGTAACTCCCACTCCCCTTCCCTACCCTGCATAATACCAAACATGAAAGTACTTAGGGGCTTTGTGTAGCACACAGTGGTCAAAGTGCTTGGGCCCTAGAGTCAGTATGGATTCGGGTCCAGATTGTGGCCCAGGCACATATTTAATTCCCCTAAGCCTCAGTATGCTTCTCTATAAATAGTGCCTACCTCAGAGTTGTGAAGATTCTGTAGACAAAGCATCTAAGGCATTGAGCAAAGTGTTTTGCATAAAGTTAGCTCTTTGTTAGTTACTCTTTTAAGGATACATATGAGGATAGACGAAAGTACAAAGAAATGCTTCATTTAGTCTTTTAAAATACATCTAATTAATTAAAGAAAGTGAATAAAATTTTCAACTTTTAAATTTATAAAGTTAAAAATTTTTGCTTTCTTTCAAACACAGGCTTAAAAACCATTTCTAATTTATATTTTAATTGAATTGGTATATATTATTAATTATTTAAAAATCCTGAATCAAGATGCTCTAATAATTGGTTTGATTTCTGCATTTGGTACCCAACATAAGGGAGCTCTCAGGTTAAAGTTTTAAATGTGTGTTTCCTATAGTTTTTCCTACAACTGCCTTAATTCTAATAAGCATCAGGAATTGGGAAAGGAACCATCTTAATCATTCTAATCACAAATGAAAACTTGCTTACCTGGAGTTTACTATCAGTACTTGATTTCTTTATTATTAATTCTGTATCAGAGGTTAATGTTATTTAAAAATAACTGCCCTGGAGGACCTGAATAGACATTTTTCCAAAGAAGACATCCAGATGGCCAACAGACACATGAAAAGATGCTCAACATCACTGATCATCAGGGAAATACAATCAAAATCACAGTGATAGATCACTTCATACCTGTCAGAATGACTAATATCAAAAAGATAAGAAATAACAAGCGTTGGTGAAGACGTGGGAAAAAGAGAACCCTTGTGCAGTGTTGGTGGGAATGTAAATGGTGTAGCCACTATGGAAAACAGTATGGAGGATCCTCAAAAAATTAGAAATAGCATACAATCCAGTAATTCTACTGTGGGGTATTTACCCAAAGAAAATGAACACATGAATTTGAAAAGATATATGCACCCCTGTGTTTATTGCAGCTTTACAGTAGCCAAGATGTAGAAGCAGCCTAAGTGCCCATCAGTAGATGAAAGGATAAAGAAGATGTGAAACACACACACACACACACACACACACACTATGGAATATTAACTCAGCTATTTAAAAAAGGAGATCTTGCCATTCACAACAACATGGATGGACCAAGAGGGTATCATGTTAAGTGAAATAAGTCAAAGACAAATACCATATAATTTTACTTACATATGGAATCTAAAAAACCAAATGAACCAAACAAAAGCTGGAAATACACTCATAAGTACAAGAGAACAAACTGGTGGTTGCCAGAGAGGAGGTGGGTGGAGGGAAGAGTGAAATAGGTTGAGAGGACTAAGAGATACAGACTTCCAGTTATCAAATCAAATCAAGTCCAGCAGATGAAAAGGACAGCATAGGGAATATAGTGAATGTTATTGTAATAATGTCGGTGACAGATGGTATCTACGCCTATTGTGGTGAGCATTGTGTAATGTGGAGAGTTGTTGATTCACTGTGTTTACACCTGAAAGTGATACAACCATATGTCAGCTGTACTTCAATCAAAAAAAAAAAAACAACCTGCCCCCTTTTCTAATAACCTGTATTTTTCTTTAGGTATAGTACCTCAGATAAAGGGCAGAAAGATAGGGAGAATAAATACCAGTTAATTTGGCCCTCTAAATCATTTGCTTTTGGATTCAGGGAAAGGCAGACATCAAGCAGAAGCAGTGCAGTTACCATGACTGAGAAAATTGGTAGTGATACAGAGAACGGGCCACAGCATATGAACTTGGTGAATGCCCGTCTCTGTGCATCAGGTAGAAGGGTTTGACCCTCCTTGCTATATGCATATCTTACTTATTTTTCTTTTTGTGGAATTTCCCCTACTCCGGAGATAAAAAGACTTGGTTCCACCCTTCCCGCTACCACCTTTGTTTTTTACTTTAATTTTTGTATTATTATTATTATTATTTTTTTAATTTGGGGCAATGATAACATTTGCTTTAAGCTTTCCATTTGAAAAATCGTATCTGCAAAGTGATCAGTTAGAGTCCTAGCATATTGGAACTGGAAGGTAAAAATCATCCTGCCAGTGGCATTTCAGATTGTCCTCTGCCAAGCCCTAAGGTTCTTTGGAAGCAGCTTTGGAGCCAGACTGGCAACAGGTGAGGGAACAAAATGTCAACACACTTCCCTTTGATCAAAATAGTCTTCATCTTTTTTATGTATTGGATTTTTACAAAATCGTTGCTTTTTAAAAATGGTTTTGCTGTTTTAAGAAGAATATTGGAATTTACTTTCTCTTTACAGATGGGGAAATAGCTTTAGAGAGAGTGTAACTCCTAGACCAGCTGTTTGCTGTATCACATTTTCTGTGATGAGTAAATTTGGGGCAGATTTCTTGGGGAAAAGCTATAATTTTTTTCTTATTTCTTTTTGTTTCATTTTTCTCACTAGACTAAGCCTTATGAGGTCAGGGATTATATTTTGCTTACCCTTATGCACCCAAGTTCTAAGACAGTGCTTGGCATTAACTAGGCACTTGATATATTCTGTTAAATAAGGCAATTATACTATATATAAAAGGCTAATAAAGTGGTGATTAAAATATAAATCCATCAGTAGAACAAGATAAGAAAATTAAGTTTCTTAGTACTTATCATTACATTTTGAAACATTTTCAGCAAACAGATTGCATTTTAAATTTTATTCTGTTGCAGTTGGCCAGTCATAGTGCTGGGAAAACCAGAACTTTCCTTTTGGGGTTAAAATAGCCATTTTCTCTGCATTTTTTATAGGAAACAACTCCACCATCAGTAGTTTAAAAAGTCAGTGAAGTTGATTTTTCACGAATTGAATTTTTAGTCTAAAAGATATAAAATATTATAATTGCTTTCTTAAATATTTTCCAAGAAAATATACAAAAATCATGTTTGAATAGGGATTTAGTTAAACAACTTTAAGTAATTGGCAACAAAATAAATCTGGGTTTTGCAGGTGAGTGTCAGGGCACAACAAGATAAGCTCAACCCACAGTCAGAAATGTTTTACTTTGGGGTGCCTGGCTGGCTTAGTTGGTAAAACATGCAACTCTTGGGGTTATGAGTTTAAGTCCCATGTTGCCAAGCGTAGAGCTTACTTAAAAAAAAAAAAAAAGTTTTACTTTGGACCACAAACCAGATGACTTCAAGGTTAGCAAAGTCCTGTAATGAAAACATCAGTCATGACACTTAAGCACTAAGAACAGGAATAGCACAGAAAATGAGGGAGAAAGGCAAGGAGACTTATTGGGTATTAGCAGGTAGAGGAGAAAAAGGAGTTTGAATAATTAAACAGTGGAAAAAATTCAGATATTCATTCTGTAATTGCATCAATTAAATAATAAAACAGTGGAAAAAATTCAGATATTCATTCTGTAATTGCATCAATTAATGGCATGGGGCATTCTATATTAATACTGCTATTAAAGACCAATTTAAATATCAGACCTTTATTTTCCAGAAAATTTTTGATCAAGAGATTTTAGCTATTCATAATTATATATACTGGTCATTATAAAAATATGGACAAATGGAAATGTTAAAAACATACCTATATATAGTTATCAAGTATTTTAATAAAATCTAAGTAAAAAAAATTATGTGATCTGGAAAATGTTAAGATCACTGTAAGTCTGGAAAACTAGAACTATATACATGTTTGTATTACTTTTCAATTATCTTATTTTCTATAGTAGGAAACAAGCATTCATTATATGCTGGAGTGTGAAAAGTGGGTGTGTTACTACTGATAATATATTCACACTGATAATATGTATCATAGTGAAAGAAAGCGTAAATGGAGAGGCATTTATTAATGGAGACTGAACAAGCAGAAAGAGAAAGGCATTATGGACAGTTTTTAAAAGCTATGCCCCAACGTTTAAGTCCATTTTATATACAGAAGGAACCTTAGACAAATGTTTTGTCCAATATTCACAAAAAAGGTAAGCAGTAAAGCCTTGGTTTGTCATGATGTGTGTATATCATAGTAATCTGTATGGCCAGCACAATGTATACTCTTAGAAGAAATTAATCTTAATATGAAGAATGTTATTTGAGATTGTTAGATACCTAACCAGAATGGGAAAATAAAATATCTGTACTGTTTTCAGGCAATAAATGAAGACTATTAGTAGCTAATGCTGTGTAATCAAACTCAGGTAACAAATGGTCAAGTCTAGTATTTGTGCATTTTATCAAAGTGAAATTTGGGCTGCTTAGTAAAAAAAATTATGACACTGCTGCTAATAGAATTGCAAAAAAAGCACAAAGGTTAGAGTGAGCACTTTAGATGCCTTTGCCTCATTTAGACGTTTGCAGAAGAAGGAACTTTTTGTTTTGTTTGTACACCAACATGCCTTGCCTGCTTTTTTACTGTAGCTTTTAATTTAGAAGAAGCTACCAGCTTAGCTACTCTTTGAATTATAGCTAGATAATAATTAACTTGCACCGAAAGTTAATCAACATCAGAAATTTGTTTGGGGATGTTATGATATGGCATGAATTAGCACCATTGAACATTCTACTGGCTTCTGTCCCTAATCTTGATTATTTCTGGTGATAGAAAAAAGTAATTATGGAATGCTTTATTTTTTAATAGTGTGCATGTTTTGTTTTAATGCATGTTTGTAGTTGATTATTAAACGGCTTATCTTTGCTCTGGTTTTTTAAGGCCAGTTGGATGGCCGTGACTAAGCAAATTTATTGTTTGTTTCTAGTGCAACGTTTAACTGTCAAAGAATCAACAGACAACTTGTTTCCAGAGCAGAAGTCTTCTCTAAATTATTTGAGGAGGAAGAAAGAACGACCTTGCATGTTAAATTTGAGTGGTACTGATTCATCAAGAATACTTAGACCAAGGCAAACCAGATTAGACAGTCCAGTTAGCAATCGTTATGCAGGAGACTGGAGCAGCTGTGGAGAAAACTACTTTTTAAAGACAAAAGAAAATTTTAATGATGTAGATTATGATGATGTCCCCTCAGAAGATAGAGACAATGGAGAAAATTGTAGCAAAATGTATGGACCAGATATAATGATTGAACAGCCAGTACCCATGTCCAAAGAGTACACATTTCAGACATACTTGACAATGCAGACAATTGAGTCTACAGTGGATCGAAAAGTCAATCTTAAAGACCTGCAAGAAAGCATTGATACTTTGATTGGAAATCTGGAGCGTGAACTCAACAAAAACAAGCTTAATATGAGTGTTTGAGATTGAGAGTTTTAATTTGCTTTTTTGTCATATTTTAAATTTCACATCAGTCTTTCGCTTTCTTATACCGCTCACAGTGATGGTTTTATTTTTTTACTCTTGAAAATTCCATTAATTTCTAGTAAGTTCATGTGATTCAATTAAAAACACTATTCATTAAGTTTTTACGTATCTTCATTAGAAAATTTTTCTTGGGGCACAGATAACTTCGACTTGTGGATCTTTTAACAAATACGGCCCATTCTATGGAGATAACTTCTAAATGCACTTATAAGGTTCAGATAAGTTATTAGCCCCTCATGGTTTTTGTACATTACAGGAACTGCTCTTTTGGAGCTGGAACAGATGTTTCTTACAGAAGAACGTGGCAGCTGCTCTGTCCGGTTTGCAGTGAGTCCACATACTCTGCAACATCATTTGATCATATTTCATTTGCAATGCAAATGCTGCTATAAAAACCTTTTTATAAATAAAAGTAAAATTATACAGATATTAATGTATTCTGTATTAACATTCAGTAATTATTTAAGCTTATAAAAATTAAGTATTTTTATAATCCTGAAAATGTGTCTATTTATAAGTGCATATATGGATAGATATTAGAATGGGGGAGGCATTGGCTGCAGAATCACATGTATCTTTAAAGCATATATGTCGTGAGGCCAAAATTATTAACTTAAAATGTCTTTTTCAGGGAAAGAACATTTAAGTTAAAGGAGTTCTGTAGAAACACTTGAACCAAAACACTAGAAGCATCTGAATAGAAATAATAGACTTTCTTTTTTTTGATTCATAGAAAGTCACAATATCCCTAGTGAGAAGTCATCTTTTAAATTGAAATCCTCTAATTTCTTAAGGGATTAAGAGCCCAGATTTCTGTACTAGTGATTTACATTAAAAAAAAATCTTCACCTGTTCTATGCATTTTTATGTTCTGCTTTTTAAAACAAAGTAATTATACTTTAAACGTATTTATTTGTAGTAGTACATTGATAACATTGACTTTATAATTACCTTCATTTGTTTCTAAAGAAATCTTGCCAACATACTCCATGTTACTGATTTTGAAAAATTAATTCATTTTGGCTAAGTATATCTACAAGATAGTCACTATAGCAATCATAGCAGTGTTTGAAAAATGTAAATTTAGAAGACTTTTTTATTAAATTGGAATGTATTTTTTTTAATTTTTATACCCACAGAACATGTAATTTTAAAATTATAAAATTTGAATCAACAACTTAAAGATGTAGCAAGCCATTAGAAAACGGACTTCTTGATGTTTTTCTAAATATTGAAGTATTTAACTATTTCTACGTAATATACATTGATAAACAGAACACCTTGTTATTTAATTTGAAAACTCAATTGTTAAAAAGCCAGATAAATAACTATTTTTATATGAAAATTTAATTTTTTAAAGCTTTGTATAACAATTCCGAAGAATACCAAAAGAATATGTGACAGAGATATATATTGAGTAAACAGTCAAAAGAAATGTGCTTTAAATGTTTTTGTTTGGGGCTCCTGGGTGGCTCAGTTGTTAAGCATCTGCCTTCGGCTCAGGTCATGATCCCAGGGTCCTGGGATCGAGCCCTGCATCGGGCTCCCTGCTCAGCGGGAAGCCTGCTTCTCCCTCTCCCACTCCCTCTGCTTGTGTTGCCTCTCTCTCTGTGTCTCTGTCAAAATAAATAAATAAAATCTTTTCAAAAAATGTTTTTGTTTGCTATATCATGTATATTGTATGAATTGAATAAGTTGTTTCAGAAATGTAAAAGTTTTATTAAAGTATTATAACCTTGGTGTCATGCTATTAATTATCATAATGATTTTAAGGATTACTTAATGTCATTCTTTGTCTTCTCAAACAAAAGTGTTAGAGTATTGGACAATCGAATGTTATCCATAAATAGATGTAACGATATTTTTTGGTCCAGAATTGAATTATCCAGAATCTGAAATACTTTCAAGGCCAGAGGTATTTTGTTATATAATTTTGGATGGAAATAGTTTAATCTCTGCCATCTTAAATAGAAAATACTAAACATCTATGTTGTCTGAATCACTGAGTCCTAACTACAAATCTCTTTTATTGACTCTTCTGTATTTAGTAGTGCTCAGTAAGTTTATGCCTTTACTTTAAATGATCTTTAACTTCAAACCTTTTTTGAGTTTTTATACCTGCTTTTTCTGCACTAGTAGACTGTCGGCTATCATTCTCTTCTAAGTCTACCAGCCCCAGTGTTTCTTAGGATTAAAAACAATTTTAATTTTAGTGCATGTACCTGAATAAAGTTTCAAGCAATTCAGATGGATAGAGAATAAAAAGTGTGCCATTCACACCGCTTCTCAGAGGTAACAGCTGCTTTTTATTCTTCGGGTAAGTACTACCTACCTCCATCACTGGGTCTAGGTTTACTGCTGCTATTTCTTGATTTGTCATTTAAGTATGAATGATAAAGAATGTCCATTCCTCCTCCCCATTTAATATTTTTAGTTCTTCTTTCAGTGTCTTTTATAACTTTTAGTAATCTTTGTTTCTTGATCCATCTGTTTTAAACAGTGTCTCTTGACTCGCTACCATTGTGGAGATGACCAACGCTATACTTCCCTTCAGCCCATTACTGCCCTTTACCTCTTAATTTCTCTAAGTTACACAATTAGTTGATATAATCAACATTAATAGGTTATATTATTTGGGGGGACTATATTTGACTTGTCTTTTCCTTTATATTTTTTTCCTAAAAACTACAAACCAGTAACTAGCCATTATGCGCTGGATTATGCAGAAGTGTTTAAAGGTTAGCCAGGTGGTTTTGTCTCCTACATATCCAATCTTATGTCCTGAAGTCTATGCTGATTTAAGCAGAATATTCCAAGCTAAAGGTCAAAAGGATTATTTTATCATATAGCTATCAACTTCTCCAAATCATGCTGTGTGTTATTTGCTTCATAATTGGGTCATGGCTTTTGCAGATTTTCATTTTCTTTTATCTTGCTATTGAATTACCAAATTTGTTCAGAGTGCTTTTAGCTCTCATCCTGGGATTCATGAGGTACATTCTTGCCTTTATTTTTTTTTTGACAGGAGAAAAATATCTTCTTCAGTATAAGCCTGAGATCATCCTAAGCTTTTAACTAACTTAATCAAACGTGGACAATGTGGTTTTTTAGCTGTCATCCTGGGATATATTTTCCTTGCACTCCTATATTCTGTTTTGTTTTATATCTCACCTTTCTAAAATGTAGGGGTGTTTTTTGTTGTTTGCTGAAGTATATAAGTAGTTCCCTCCACCACATATACCTCTTTCCATCCCTTGTACCCCCCCACACATGCCCCCCACAAGAAGGGTGCTTGAGAGAGGTTTGAGTCCTTGCATTTCTGACAAGGCCTTTATTTTTTCCCTGTACTTCATTTTGATTGGACCTGCAGTTCTAGATTCAAACTCATTTCCCTTTAGAACTGTGATGGCATTTCTCTATTATCTTCCTGCATCCAGTTTTGCAGTAATCCAGGCAAGAAAGATGGTGGTTTGGACCAGGGAAGAAGCAGTAGAGGTGGTGAGAACTGGTTGTATTCTGGATATGTTTTGGAAGTAGGAGCCAAAAGAATCTACCAGTGGACTGTGAGAGGAAGGGGTAAGGCCTGAGCAACTAAAGGATGGAGTTACCATCAGATGAGATTGAGGTGACTCCATTATATTTTTTAAATGAGCTCCTTGTAGTGGAAGTTGCTATTATCAATGTAGTATTTATCAAAATACTTGTAATGTCCTGTTAACTCTAAGTATTAATGCTTCTGTACCTGGTAATGATGCCAGTAGTCACTGCAAGAATAAGAAAGCAGGAAGACTAAATATCAAAGCCAAGTTCACATCCTAACTCTCTGGAAAACTTCAGATTGTGTGGCTTTGAAACAGGTTGGGGTAGTGGTATGGTTTCTGAAAAGAATGTTTCCAGACATAAGGACTTTAAGGCTTAGGATTTTATAATTTAAAGACACCAACTTTTAGGTACTTGGAAAGTGATCAAATTGTATTATGTTTAATAATAAGTTTCTTTTTGAATCTTACAGACTTGAGGACTTTGGTATGAAGAAGAATGCTCTTTTGCTCTTTTCCCAGCCCAAGGCTCATTTTTAATTCAGTAAGGCTCATGTTTGATAAACATTGAAGTGCCAGAAATCAGAGTTCTTGGTTGCTTTCTGACTCAGCCAAAAACTGGCTAATTAAGGCAGAAATGGAATTCATTAAAAAATAATAATGATAATGTTTCAGATAAAAGAGTCACCCAAGCACCCCTGTTCAGTTAATTATTAATAAATGAATGAATGCAAAGGTATTCTCAGAGAATGGTTATCTTTTTGTCAGGAAAAGACTAAGGACCAAGAGAAGCAACGTCTATGTAATTATTCCAATATTCACTCCTGGGCGCCTGGGTGGCTCAGTCGGTTAAGCGTCTGCCTTTGGCTCAGGTCATGATCCCAGAGTCCTGGGATCGAGCCCCACATCAGGCTCTTTCCTGGGTGGGGAGCCCGCTGCTCCCCATGTTTCCCTTGCTTGTGCTCTCTCTCTCTTGCTGACAAATAAATAGATAAAATCCTAAAAAAAAAAAAAAAATTTACTCCTGAGTAGTAATTCTTTGTAGTTAACAAAGTGTTCTCTCTCTGTCTCTCTCTCATTTTTTTTAATGACTTGTGTTTTTTTTTGGAACTAGAACGGCCTTGGGAATATTCTTGACTTAAAAAGTGAGTTCATAAATTTTGGGTATTTTTTTTTTCTGTAGAATAGCAATTGTTTCAGTGGAAACAATTATTTAAATAATATGTGTATGAAAAAGTGTCTCTCACCATAAGAAAGGAAAGTCTCTGGGGGAGCTTTTGTTAAAATGCGGCATTTATTTCTTCACAGAAATCATGAGCAAAAAAATCCCGATTCATTCTAGTGTGCACTTTTTGCTAGAACTGAAAAAAAACCTATTTTTCATTTTATTAAAAGAAAATATCTTCATAAAGTTGAATGAACCCTACAAGTAGAACTCCTATTAGAAAGAGTAGCAGAGACCACTTTGGGGAACAGGCACTACATTTAATGTTTTTTTGTTTGTTTGTTTGTTTTGTTTATTTATTTGACAGAGAGATAGAGAGCACAAGTAAACAGAGAGGCAGGCAGACGGAGAGGGAGAAGCAGACTCTCCACTGAGCAGGGAGCCTGATGTGGGACTCCATCCCAGGACCCTGGGATCATGACCTGAGCCGAAGGCAGCCGCTTAACCGACTGAGCCACCCAGGCGCCCCACATTTAATGTTTTTTAATCTTTCTCAATGTCAAGTGTTTGTTTTAAGCAAGGGAGAAAAATGCCTAGATATTGCCCCTGGGTTGGGTTAAATTAATCCTTATCTGTTTGATAAGGCCCCTGGCATGCTTTTAAGTCATTTGAGTTAATCTTTCTTTTTTTGTTGTTGTTTTGCTTACTGGAGGTATTTATAAACTGAAAACTTGGTGTTGGCCTCAACATTCTACATATTTCGTTGACTAAAAACTCCTCTAGGGAGAGTTTAAAATTCCAACTTTAGAAAAATACAGTGAATATTAAATCAAGAAAAGGAAAAGTCTTGCATTCAAGACATTTTTGTGAAAGAGACAGCAAGCCTGCAGCTCATATTTTTTCATAGCTGCAGATATTGAACAGCGACCCCTTGTTCTTGACCTTTGTTCAAGAAAAGGGATGCAGTTTGCCAGCATTTGGTTCTCTTTTTTGACTGACTTTCCCCTCTAGCCATTGTAAAACTCACGTTTTAACCTAAGGGCAAATTTGAATCATTAGGTAAGTGAAAATAGCTCCTCTAAACTGGTTGATAAGAAATGTCAGAGAATAAAGGGCCATCTGTCCAAGGTTATGAATCTATGTTTGCTCTGTACTCAATGTCAAAATTCACCTGTAAAGTCAACTAAACTATACGTAAAAGAAGGCACGTTATTATCTTCTTCCACTGACAGTTCATTACGTTTTCAAATATAAAGAAAAGTTGAAAATTATACAGTGAACACCCATGTATCTACCAGCTAGATTCTATAACTGTAAGCATTTTGTTATATTAGTTTGATATCCATCATTATCTGTCTTAATTTTTGGTACATTTTTAAAGTAAGTCACAGACTTCAGTACTTCATAGTAAGTGTCAATTTGGAAGTCAAAAAAAAAAAAAAGAATTGGAGATGAACTTTGTGCGATTATAATTAACTCCTAAAAGAGTCACAGAATATGTGAATTCACTACAAATCCTAGATTTCATCACAGAAAGATCTAACTTTGCTATTAATAGCCTCTAAAAAATAATGCATATTTTGGGTATCTTGTGATCCTTTCCACATAACTTTTAGCTTCCCAGACTTCTCTCATTCACAGATAACCTTCACAATTTCTACCATATTCAAATACCATATGTAATATTGTTTACTTATTTTCTCTAAAAAATTTTTATTTTCAATTAAATTTATTTTTAGAGTACAACTTTATATCACCACCATAAATGGAAAATTGGTATCATTTGTCATAAATAAGTTGACCATATTTTTTTTTTCTATACACAAAAGTAAATTCATAATGTATACCTTGGCATGCATACTAAGGGAAATACTGAGTTATATAGCCTCCATCCTTCCCCCTTTTCCTTTCACAAACACTGGGGCACAAGGAAAGTCAAATCTGCAT